AGAGTGAATTTTTAATTATAAATTGTAATTTTGAACAATTTAATTTCTAAAATTTGTTTCTAGATATGTACAAAATAAAAAATACTTTAAAAATAACATTTATTATTTCAATAAATGAGTAAAAAGTTCGTCTGCCCCGGGTGAGGATCGAACTCACGACCTTAAGATTATGAGACTTACGCGCTACCTACTGCGCTACCGAGGCTGTGATAAGTTCTTACAAGATTATGCTATAAATGTGCATTAATCGGTATTCAAAAGCACGTGTACCCATAAAATGGCTTTGAAAACTAGTAATTCTTAGCATACGTAATATTCATGTATCGTGCTATAAAAATAAGGATATTTGTATTATATAAATATTTCTTTTATTATTAAAATGCTTAGTCCAAAAGTATGGAACTTCAAACCTCCTCAACATCATTTTTCTATCGAAAAGAGAGATTATAAAAAGATTGATGTACCAGACGTAGTCACATCGCATTATTTTAACCATTCTGTATGTAAAAAACTAATTTGAATTAATAATATCTCCATAAAGGTTATGTTTTAAGAAATCTTTACATAATTCGCAATTACTGTTGGCTTTACGCCAGGTATCTTTAGTACTTCCTGATACAGTTAGAATTCCGGATGAGTTGTGGACTTGTATTTCTGATGATAGCGACTATTATCGAATTAACGGGCTAAATGTATTTGAATTAATAAATAAAGAGTTTATCGAAGCATTTGTTAAAACAGGTAAATAATTATAATAATTTAAAGTAAATAATTAATTTATAATTTCATTTTTCAACATTTTACCATATGCTTACTTGAAAACTAGGTGACATTAGATTTAAAAATGTCAAATATTCTTTAGTTCTACATAGAGATTATATTAGAAATGTACATTTGTACTTTTACACATAAATGAAAATTCTTATAGATCTATGATATAACATTTTAATTGTAGTGAATAGTCATCTGCTTATCTTTTAATATGTAATAAATGTAGAGAAAAATCTTTTATTGTATTTCATATATTTTAATAAATTTTTTTTTAGGGGAACTGACTCTTTTATCAATAGGACACAAAATAGACTTAGATAATTCAGTTGCTATTACACCATCTGGGCATTTAATATTATCTTTATTAACTGAGGACTTTCAAAAACTGGGTTTAGAAGGCAAGGTTTCCTTCTTTGATCGTAAAGTGCATACACGTCGTGGTAAGTCCCAAAAAGGGAAATAATAAAGATCACAATGCCAAGAAAGCATCAAGTCCATACGCTAGTGGATCTAGCATTGTATTCCATTGGGGAATTTGTAACTACTTTTGGTAGATACTTAACAAAACATGTTTGTAAGATGTCCAAAGGCAATGCACAATATGGGCTTACTAAGATACCTTTAATGTTAGAATATATGAAACATTTATTGAGTTTCAATGTACCTCGACATTTGTATGATAAGATGTCCAGAGCAGTCTTAACTGCAATTGTTAAGCTAGTTAAAGAAACTAGAGGCACATATACTGATTATGCTTTATCAAAAGCATTTTGGTCAGAAATGACAATTGCTCTTCGTTTAACAGAAGTGGCTATAGATACACAATTAAAAACAATTGAATTTTCTGCTTGGCCTAAAATCATGCGTCATGTTCTTTATAATAAATTACCTGACATGACTGGACTTGAAGTTTTGGATTTAGGTTCAGGTTCAGCTGGTTGGAGAACATCTGACATTGAAAAAGTTATTATTACTGGAGTTTCTTCTATGCCAAATTTAGTATGTTTTACTTTATGCTTTGATTGTACAGATAACATCATAGCAGCTCTAGCTCAGAACTGTAAAAAATTGCAGAAGTTAGATGTGACTGCATCTAGATCTGTAACAGAACGCAGTGTAATTCCTTTACTATCATGCAAATATTTAAAGCAAATTATATTGTGTAGAACTTCTATGTCTATACCTGGTTATGCAAATCTGTTTTTAGAACATTTAAATATAGAAGATATTGGCAGATGTGATGAATTTGGATATATTTTAGAATATATTCAACAAAGTGAAATTGATACTACAACTTCTTTTCACATAAGAACATTTGAGAGCCGAAATTTCAATCTGGAACATTTATACCTTTTAGTTGACATGTGCCCATATATTACAAGTCTTTGTTTACTACGTGATGAAAGAATTATTGATTTAACAATTTTAGCTACTCTTGATTATTTAAAAGAATTAAAACTTCTATCTTGTGATTTTTATACCCATGGAATAAATACATTATTAGAAATAAAAGGTCAAACAATTACAAATCTACATTTGGAGCATGTAGATGAAATTGATTTGAATGCACTTATATGTATAAGTCAATATTGCCCAGATTTAAATAGTCTAGTCTTTTACAACTGTGAATTTTCACAAGATGTACTATATTATCCAAGAAAATTCACGATTCCTCCATTTCAGTGTTTAGAAAAAATCAAATGTGTAATAGAATGTGCAAATGTGCACCTAGAATTTTTACTCTCACATTGTAAAAATATTAAGTTCATTCAATTGGGTTCATCAACTGGTATTGGAGATGAAACAATAAGAAAAATATTTATGCACAACCAAATGCGTAAATTAGAAGAGCTTAAAATATTATTTAGTCATGATTTATCAATGAACACTATACAGTTATTAATGCATCATTGTGATAATTTACATCGTTTATCAGAATTAGAAAATTGGTCAAAAATATCACCTACAGAATTGAGCATTTTTAGAGAAGAGTTAAAAAATACTAATACAAAGTTGGATATCAGCCCAAGCCTGTCTTTTGCATAATTCAATATTAAATCTAATTAAATAATTGTAACAATTTATGGAAATATATATTTTATGTAATCGAATGAGACAATATTACATATTATAATAATGATAAAAAGACAACATTATGATTGTGGGTTTTAAGTAATTGAAAACAAAAAAGTTAAAAAAAAATGTATATATTTTTTTTGTTTAGAATAAAAAATAAAATAGTTTAATCAGAAACGGTATATAGTAATGACTAAAACTTTTAGCAGTTTGTTGATGTAAAGTTACTAACATATTTTGTGTATATTTTTCTGTATTTTTTTTTTATCGGTAATACGAATCAAAAGTTGTGACTATTGACTTAAAATCTGAGAGTTTTACACCTGGCAAAAAGAATTATGAACATACTCGAACATCGCTAAAGGAGCATTTTAATCAAAAGTTTGATATAATTGTATCATGGAATCCACCAGGTAATTTTTTGCCCTTTTTAAATGTTATTTATATTTGTAAAACTTTTGTATTAAATTTTTTTTTTATATTTTCAGACGAAAACCTGTGTCCATCATCAATAGCAGCATGGTTTCATAAACACGAGTATAGTGTAGTTCTTTGCCATCAAACTTCTGTACAAAGAATTGAATATTCTTTACCAATACCAGTAATTTCAAATGAACTCGATAATGATAAATTTTTTGAATGGCTTGGAGTTCTCAGTATTTCTGGTGATTTGTACGTAAAAATATTTTAAATAAATATTTAAAGTATATACAATGTTTATTATAAGTTAATTTTTTCAGAAAAAATGACAAAAATAATGATTATGTGAACACATACAAATGTCCACCTCCATCTACGGATGTTGGTCAAGTACGGTATCTGCAGTGGATTGGTTTTTTCACAAGAAAACATATAACACATTTGTATAATGTCGTAAAAGAATATATATCAAAGGAAAATAGTTTACCATGGGGTGCTTTACATGTTCAAGGATTTTTGGATAGCCCTGTTAGCTGGGATTTAAGAGAACATACATTTTATACTGATGGTGACAATAGTTATACTATTGTGTTTAGACCAGCTGCTCCTTCTATTATACGAAAAAGTTTAAGTTCAAACAATAAACCAAGGATTCTCCAATAATTATAAATTTTATTATGTGTTATTCAATG